GGGGGGGGCAGTTGCTCTTTCACCAGAGATGCAGGTCATGATAGAGTTTATGCGGCAACAACAAGAACAAAATCGACAACAACAAGAACAACATCGGCAACAACAAGAAAAACAACAACAGCAGCATGCATTACAACAACAACAACATCAACTTCTGACAGAGTTACTTGCAGATCGAGGAGCGGTAGCAGCCGCTGGGCATAGAGAGTCAAGCTCATCAATGTATAAGTTAGTGGGCATGCATAAGCTGACACAGGAGGATGACATTGACTGTTACTTACAGACATTTGAGAGACTATGTATTGCGCAGAGCAAACCTAGAGATCGGTGGACGGCTATTCTAGACCCATTGCTATCGGGGCGAGCTCAGAAATGCTTATTTCGTATAGCAGATGACGTCAGACAAAACTTTGAGCTAGTGACAGCGGCTATACTCGCAGCGTACAATCTGACCTGTCAGCGTACGTCACCTTTGAACGCGGTTCTAGCGGACGCTAAGGACAAAGAGCGGGTGTGCCATGTCGACCAGCTGAAACTGGTCGAATAACGGGCCGCACGGGTCGAATGTAAATACGTCCAAGTGAATGCATAACTCGGCAGGGGAAGAGCAAATTATCCTGCCAGTTATGCGCGAACGATAGTGCTGCGCTATGAGCAACGGTAGCGGCAGCACATAACATGCGATGAGAAGGGTACATAGTGCATTTAGCATGGATACGGTTGGTATTACAGACTCCCCTCCGGGACACTGCTTCGAAGGAGGGGAGAGTGTAAGGTGTCGGTACCGTCACATACGGGTCGAAGCCATTCTACCGGAATCTACAGGATTCACACTCAGGCTTCGACCTAGGATTCCCGGCAAGCCAGGCAAGGCCACGGCTGCCAACATATATAAGGACCGCCTGGGATCAACTTGTGCCGTATCCCCCACCGCCTGCAAATGGCTGCAAAAGCCTTGGAGCGAAACTGCGCCCCATTGTCGGAGATCAGCCAGCGAGGGGGCCCAAAAACCGAACAAAACGATCTGTCCAGGCTCAATGCTACCTTACTGCCTGTAGCCTTCCTTAAAGGAATAAGTTGCGACCATTTAGAGAAGTGATCCGTAATCACTAATATGTATTCGTGTCTCCCATATGACACGGGTAACGGCCCCATCAGGTCAATGGCGGCTTTTTCTCCCGGGTATGATGACTCCGTCGTCCGCATAAAACCCACCTGTTTCCGATACGAGGGTTTTACGACCCTACACGTCGGGCACGCTTTCACGAAATCTCGGATACCTCTAGCCATCAGGGGCCAAAAAGCGACAGTGGCTTGATGGGGCCGTTACCCGTTACGGTTGGTATTACAGACTCTCCTCCGGGACACTGCTTCGAAGGAGGGGAGAGTGTAAGGTGTCTGTACCGTCACATACGGGTCGAAGCCATTCTACCGGAATCTACAGGATTCACACTCAGGCTTCGACCTAGGATTCCCGGCAAGCCAGGCAAGGCCACGGCTGCCAACATATATAAGGACCGCCTGGGATCAACTCGGGGTGCTCCATTCTACCAGACGGCCAGGACACCGACCGACGTAAGGATCAAACCCTTACAAGAAGTGCATCAATATTATAAGATGACGCAGGACACTATTTCTTCAATGCAAAGTCAGGAGCTAATTATAATATAAGAACCAATAAACGTGCATTCCTTGTTATCACTTCCACATATATGTATATCAGTCTACAGTCACACGTACATGTACATCTCAGTTTAGTCACGTACGTACATCAGACTGTAGACCGATATGTGACTGTAGATTGAGATGTGCGTATGTGACTGAGATGTGCGAATCTACAGTAACATACACACTTCTCAATCTACAGTCACATATGCACATCTCAAATCTACAGTCACATACACACATCTCAACCTACAGTCTCATACGCACATCTCAACCTACAGTCACATACGCACATCTCAACCTACAGTCATATACGCACATCTCAATGTACAGTCACATACGCACATCTCAATCTACAGTCACATACGCACATCTCAATCTACAGTTACATACGCACATCTCAATCTACAGTCACATTATACGTGTATTTTGGTGAGGGTTATTGGCACGTATAACGCATTCAAAATCTAAAACGTTATCTGGGACAGAATTATTCGGTCTAGGAGGTATGCAGGCCCTAGCTGCGTGTTTACATCTCAGTCTACATGCAGTCACATACGTAACACTGAGTTTACAGTCACATCTTAATCTACTGTCACATACGTAGCCTCGTAGGCGCCTACATCTACATACAGTTAACACGTACAACGGTACATGCATACACATGATTATGATACGGCGTACAAACGTATTCTCACACAATTGAACATGAAAACCCGTATCTACTCATTCCACGCAATGATAAGCTCACATGATCACATTGAATGGCACAATTAATTACACTAATAACGATATTATGAGTAGTTATTTAAGAATTATTGTGCCTGTGTGCCGATTTGCCTGTGTTGTCTGCTTAGATTTGCACAAAAATGGTGCCACACATAGTCGTAGAGATGGCAGCACTTACCGATCGCAATGGCGACCTGCTGAAGGGAAACCTGTCGAAGTGTTGTTGTCGTTGAAATGTTGCTTTAGTAACGTTGTCATGCAAAATAAAGCCTAGTGACATAGCGCATCATCCTCGCGACATTGGAAACCCCCCGGTAAGAGGAAAATGGGCACATTTCTTACGGCGGTTTCGGAGGAGTTACGTGAAATTACGCGCGGCCGTTACAGTAATACTATAGATAGACATAGCGTCATTATTATGACAGTATTATTGCTAGTAGTATCATGCATATATACTCATATATAGATATGCTGATAATTTAGTATTTCTGTTATGCTGTGATTAGGGTTACAATTCGGTTGGGGTTAGAGTTGGGGTAAAGGTAAGAGCTTTGATTAAAGCCTCACAATGCGCATCCAAACGCTAATTTCTACAGTACTAGACTAGCAAATACTTCGTGGCATGAATAATCACACTACCTTATGACAAAATAAACTCTAGTGCCTCCCATTTCACTGCGCGTTGTCTTATAAAAGGTATTTGAAAATATCTCCACTGTTGTTCAAATTCTCCGATGTTGTTGACACGTTTGTGTTGCTCTGCCAGGCAACCGTCCAGCGGGTGTAGCAAAGATTTCTACGGCCCGTGTGCGTTTTTCGCTTGCACGCTGCTAGCGCAATGTTCGCGCTGTTACTGTTAGCGATATCAAGCCTAAAATCAATACGTTATTTTCACGTTTATTACGCGCTGCCTATAAATCTTTCTTAATAGTCTTTGATGTTACAGGATATACCACAGTTGCACAATACTACAACTATCTTCATGCACTGTTCGCCTATGAAACAGTTTACCCGCGGGACAAAGCAGATCCTGCTCACACCCTGTAGCAACATGTGACGTCACGCAAACCTAAGTCGATGCTTATGTTGTTTGAAACAATTAGGTTGGCGCCTGATTACTTGTTTCGCACCTCTTTCTGTTGGGAACGCGCAGTCAAATGTAGGAACTAGAGTTTTTTTGTCATAAGGGGTGGAGTGTATTAGGCCATGCCCACAAAGTAGTTGCTGTCTCAGTACTGGAGAGTTTCTAGGCGTGGATGCGCATTGTGAGGTTTAGGTTAGGATAATTGCGTTATCTTGTTAGGATTAAAGCTGCGTCTGATTTCGCAACAAAATGCATAAATACACCAGTTTAAGGATTGAGATTGATGTCCCGATGAAGACCTAATTGTCATTTTTGTCAATGTGGGCTTAGCCTTTTTAAAATCTACAGGGGGTGTTTGTTGAAGGTGTTGTTTTGTTGGTTCCACTTTTTCGGGGACGAGAAACATTATGTCCAGTTCACAGCAAGTGTGGGAAAAAACCGTGGTTTAAGAGACCACTTACTCGCCGTTTTCCGACTGTTTCTCACCATTACTACGCTGCGAGAATTTCCCTTGATCTTCCTGTGCTACGGCTTTTTTCAAATCTACTCTGCGTATTTGCGCGCGCCATTTACGGACTGATACTACTTGCCTCTCCGCACGTAAATTACCTGGAAATCCGTTGATAATTCGGTTGGTTTTTTGGAAAGTCATAATGAATAAGAAAATGGTTAAAGCCATTGATGTTGACTGTTCCCTACTGCCCTCTCGCCGCGCAACTGGTGATGTATAGGGAATTTCGCCCCCGCCCCTCTTCCAGCTCCCACTGGTCCGCACGTCTGAGTGTCGCTGGGCGCGCGTAAGGGGATGTATACAGTGGTGAATAGCCTGCGCGGTATATACAGGGATNTGTGTGTGTGTGTGTGTGTGTGTGTGTGTGCGTGCGTATGTACGTGTGCGTGCACGTGTGCGTCTACTCACATCTTGTGTTCACAGTTGTGAGTTTGTGTGTGCAAATCCAACGCAACGTGAAATTGCAATTAACAGCATAATTACATGGCGGGACAATTTCTTAGTGCAACCCTAAACAGAATACTGGCGACTATATAGTGAAAAGCCCGCCGCGATTGAAGCAGATAGATCAAACAACGGTGATTTTTTTCCTCATAAGACGTTGAGTGTATGTTCACCAGGACGAATCGATGCATTATCCTCACTCATCGATAGGGTGCATTAAAGCCTTCTCTACATTGAATCGATAGAGATCCTTGATATGTGCAGAGATGGCTGAAGATGACACCGACAACTTCATCGTGATAACACACTAACCGTGATCTCATCGTGATAACACACTAACCGTGATCTCATCGTGATAACACACTAACCGTGATCTCATCGTGATAACNTCATCGTGATAACACACTAACCGTGATCTCATCGTGA